TAATCCAATACACTTCTTTTTGTCAAATTCAGCAGATAACTCCTCATGGTCCACTGGATGGTCCAGTCAGGGTGTGCACTGACATTTTATTTTGGTGTTTGTACAGCCGTGGTTCTGTAAATGGGAAACAAACAAAGAGTCTGGACTAAGCACCACCATTCCAGCCATTATTTGTGTGTCTGTTAACAATAAATCTCTTGCCCAATGACATTTAGTTTACAGTTTATTTTGCCAACATATGCTGTTGTTGTGATGTTAGCTATGGTAGCAGGAGAGTTGTGAATATAGCTGTCTGGAGCTGGTGTGCTGGCTCTGGGAAAGCGTCTCCTTATTTCTGCATGTTAGCTTTGCAGCAGCAAATGTTGCATCGGTTTGCTAACCCACAGCTTAGCCAAAGTTAATTTTCTTGCTGTGTCGTTGTTTGCTTTATCTCATGGTATTTGTCATAGTATTGGGTTTCTCCAGAATCATTTTTAATTAACCAACTAATCTATGTAAACTTAGTTTGCAGCCACATAAGAGATATTTGTGAAACTCAAATTGGAATCTTCAGTATAGTAATAAGATTTGCTTTCAGGAGACCTTGCATGAGCATAAGATTTAAATCAGTAAATCTGTTTACTGATTACTGATCATAATGACGTTGGCCCAGTAGCAAGCATAGGGAACATGTATGCATGTGTGTGGGTGTATGCGTGTGGGGGGGCTATTAAATAGGCATGGCTTTGATCCATGTTGAAACAAAAAAGTGCTGAGAGAGCTAGAACAATAAGGGAAAAAGAGGCTGACTAGAATGATTGAGCTTTTCCATTCATGAATACAGTCAACATTTTGCAGCCACATCACATCCTGGAATCAGTGGTTCACCACTGTGGCATCCAGCGAAGACCAGGCTTCCAACGTTACCTAAACCCTAAATTTCCAGTTTATAGGATTGAATAGGACAGTCTTCAGTACAAAGAGTTTAGGGCTGCTTCAATAAATGTGTTTTTCATTTTAAGCGGTAGTTTAATTCAAAGTAAGATAACAGATGTCTCTCTCCGTGGAAACATTCAAGTGTCCACCAAAACCCTTCAAGAAAAAACAGCTAAGGAGAAGCAAACACTGAAGAGAAATGCTATATTTTCAAAAATGCACAGAACTTGTCCTGTTGGAAACATGAAATAACACTCACGCTTTCTTTCCACAGATGGCCCCTTGGTGCCAATTACGACAAGTACTAAAGTACTTCTTCTTGGTCCCCATGACCTGCTGGAGCGCGCAGACATTGGGTCTGATGAGAATTCAGGGTGAAAAGGAGATGAAGCATTAATTTCCAGGTACAAGACATGAGCAAGATTCTATGGAAACTCTGATATAATTCATATTGAAATTATTATGTGACAAACTGCCCCTGCTGGGTAAGACAAGACTGTCAGAGTATCTATAAATATTTGCCAACTACCCCTGCTGCTTTGGAAACCAGACAGTCAATTATGAATAATGACATTCATGCCTGCTGGATATGAAATTGGTTTGTCGGATTTGAGTTATGTTTCTAAAACTATCTCTGCTGGCTTAACCTTTTAAGTTAAATGCAATATTATTCAATAACATTTCATGACATATGCCATAAATGAACAATGTAGCAGATTTCATCTAAATAGACAGAAATGTGCATAAATGCTACAACTGATGCTTGTTATTTTCAAGGTTCAACAGTATTACATGTAAAATGAAAGAACATTACATCAAAAGGGTGTCAAAACTCCAATATAATCAGGATGAAAAATATTGATAAGCTTACCCTTCTTGTCTTGCCCTGATGCGACTGTGAGCGACTATTTTGTCATAAGCTGAAGAATCAGCCTTGTCAATTGTAGAGAGCACAAAGAGTGCAAAGACAGCTATAAAAAGGAGCTTCATCCTTGGTTCACTAGCTAGCCAGACCCAGAGTAATGGGAGAAGACTCAGAGTGGGAGTTTATATACCACAAGTCTCACCCCCCTACTCAAGGAGGATGGCAACATTTCATGCGTACATGGACCACCCTATAAAAAGACAGACTTCTATACACAAATATACTGAGCATTTTTTGTGTGATAAATTATGCAAAATTATATTTAGTTAATGCTTTTATGTATTGAATAATTTATGAAGTAGGACCACAACCATATTTAGAAAACTTTGCCATTCCTCTTTTATGCAGGTTTAAAAGGGCATATATTTGATGCATTTCTCACAAAATGATTTCTTATGTAAATTTCTAGACTTCTTTATTTCACTTGTTTTAAGAATTCAAAAAGTCACATTACAGCACAAGCACAAAGACAGTGTTACTTGATTTAGACTAATTAAATAACACAGTTGATTGAATTATCACACTTTTTGCTTAACATTAGGTTTTGAAGAAATTGCTTAAGTAAATATATTTCTCAGTACATAATACTGTGCACAATAGCTGAGCATATTTTTTAGAGCCCTGAAGCTGAGTGCCACAATAAGAGATATCATGAGCAGATGGGATAGAGAATCCAGCTGTATCTTTTCTGTAAAAGTGTAATTTATTTGGACTGCAAACAAGGAATATTGCATAATATCTTCTTTGAACAAATGCCAGAGCACTGGTTGTATAAATGTCTCTGAATGTAGTTTGCCACCTAGTGGTGTGAGGGAGTGTATGCAGTTAGTCTCATTGCATTACTGTTTTACATGGTTAATATTTTCACATTATCATTTTTACATTGGAGGGTATGGATACTGGGTGAATCATTATTTGAACTATTAAAGACTTCCCATAAAGCCGAGACCCAGACAACCCAAACTTCACTTTTTTGTTTTGAAAGTTCAGGTTTTTTCAGTTCTAATTTCTGTATATCAATCAAACTTCTTTTATCATATTGTCAAATGTATCCTCACTGGAGCCACACTTTCCATTTAAAGGCACAAACCCAATCTATATCTGAAACACTTAAACTGATTGGCAAGTCTTGTACTACATGAATTTACAGGGCACAGACATTTGTACTTTAATATTAAACAATAGCATCTTAGCGATAACAACAGACACAACAAAATAAGCGTTTGTGAAATGGGTCAGATGTGAAATCCCAGAAGTATCCCAGTAGTTGCTGCAACTCATAAACAGCTTGAGCATACCCAAGTGGCTTACACCATTTGTTCTGCCACATGTTGCTCAACCTCCTGGCTTGCCAAATGTTACAACTTTGAGCAGGAAAGTAATGTCCCCCAGGCCAGCTAAGTTAATGGATTGTAAAAAATGGGAAAAGACCCAGCCCAGGATCAAATACTGCTGCACAGATTTGAGACAAATGGTCTTGCTTATGCTTGTGTATTTTATGTATGTTTAACAGTGATCCTGAGAGTAGAAAAGTTTTAAATATCAGAAAATAAACAATTCAGCAAGCTGTATGTCCTAAAGATGACACTTTCAAGGCAACAAGGCTCTTATGAACCAGATTAGTCAAGGCCTTTAGAAATTCACTTATGCATAAAATCCCTACCCATTTTTTTAACCTCTCCTAAAGTTTCAAAGACTGTAACACATTAACTTTACAATCCAAACATTCCAATGAGCAGGCAATTTTCAAACTAAAGACTCTGTAATTGCTTGCATGGAGAAATAATGGCATTGATTCAACTCACTGCAGTGATAATTAAATGCAGTGTGGCTTTTACACTTTGACTCAGAGCACTCTGAATCACTCACTTTCACAGACACACAAACACAAACACTGATGTGTCACAAAGAATGGATAAAGTAGGTTTTGATCTCAATTAAAGTTTACTCTCTTTGTATGTTGCTAGTGGGCTACTTTTAAGTGAAAATTAAAGGAAGAAAATGCTACAGCAATCTAAATTGAGTGAGCTTTTTAGATATAGTACAAATACCAAAATATTCTGTTGATTGGCCTTCTAAAGATAGTGTGACTTGCTCTCGGCTGCTATGGTAACAGCAACCTAAATACTTCATCCAGCACCTAAGGTTGCTTGCAGCTTCAAGCTTTGAAGGTGTGAAGTTATAAATATAGAATATGAGAAAATAAACACCATTATCAGAACACTAATAAAACTGATCACTAAATGGTACTACTGTCAATTAATTCTATGCCTACAGCAGTAATGTAGTTATTACATTACCTCAAATAAATGCAGCTAAATGTCAGGCCTATGTATTTAAAGCTTTACAGCTTTCATCACCTGTTCTGCGCAGGTTTAGTAGTTTTCCACTTTAAAAGTGCTTGCACAGTCTTTATATAGTGATGCCATTATTGAGTCATTTGCACGCTTACACATCACTAGGTGCTTGATGCATGGTAAGTAAGAATACCTTTAACACAAGCTAATTATTAACTTCATCTGCAAATTAATTAGTGTAGTAGAGTAAAAAGCATGTTAAATATACTGCCGAAGTATAAAGTAGCATATAATGGAAATACTCAAGAAGTATTTAGGAATAGGTCTTACATAAATTAACTTTGTTACATTCTATCAATGCTCCTTAGTTTTGAGAGCAACTGTGTTATGAAATACAGAAAATTTGTCTAGCTTGTTGTAGAAGGTTGTGTGGAAGGAAGATTCAGTTTACACCTGATTGGATATGAATAATGTACCAAATTAACATTTTTTTCCTGCAAATAAGAGCAACAGAGCCTTGAGAATGCTTCTCCTTCAGGTCACAAATTGCAAGAGAAATCTTTCAGAAAGAACATGTCCTTTTCAACTGTGCATCTAGTGCACTGTATTAGATGAATCAGTGGATAAATAGCCAAAGAGAAGGTAACAAACTATTACTTAAATCTTTTCCCTATAGTAAACAAGATGAGAGAGAATATTTCAACAGTAAAGCAAATCAAGACAAAGGCCAACTGATCTTCTCTATCGTTGTGCCATCTACTCTCTCTTAATATTATTAACGTCAGTATTTTGCAATGGAGAAAGAGTACAGCAACCTGAGAGGGGGGCAACATGTTGTGAATTAGTCCAAAAAAAGACATTGCTTTTTGAATTAGCTTTCTCTTTTATTTAATTGTAGAGTAATTTCATCACATTACAAGTTACAGAATTGCATAGTGACAGATCACAAGAGAGCTTTTACGTCATGGTTCTGTGTTTGTGCTGTTGATGTTATTGTTATGGTTTTGTGTTGTGGTTTCCTGTTTTATTTTTTATACCATTCCTCTTGTTTGTGTTCACTTCACTTCCTGGTCTTTCGGTTTTCCCACTTGTGTGATAGTTTGCACCTCCCCGATTGTTTTCACCTGTGTATCATTAATCACCTCACTTTTGTGTATTTAAGACTGTGTCTTCCCATTGTTTCATCTTCGAGAGTTTGTGGAGTGTCTATGCCTGACTTCAGTGTTTCCTTCCGGTGTTTCTGGATTTCTTCATGGATTATTGGATTTATAGCCTGTACCATTTGGATTTTGTTTGCTTTCTGTTTGAACTGCTTTCCTGTTTTGGACACTAGCCTTGCAATTCACTGTGTAAGCCTGTTAATTTTTGTTGTTTCTCGATACACATTATAAACTGCATCTGCTCCGCCTATGTATTCTGCGACAAATCCCTGGTGTTCTGCTATATTTGAGCTTGTGTAGCTGAAGAATACATCCTTCAACAAATGTATGAGTGAAAGAGAAGTTGAGACACATCTCAGAATCATCTAGGTGCTTGATTGTTTATCTACTAGATACTTTGTCCAAATTCAATGTAAAGTTAAATACAAATAAACATATATTTACTCAGTGTTAATTATCTTGATTATTTCTTCCTGTATAATTGATTTGACCAAAAGGAGTAGCTGTTGTAAGCATATGAGGAGTAATACTTTTTCTATAGACTTAAGAGATTTAAGATACTTTTGCATAGGACCAGGTGGAAGAAGAGAGGATTGGAAGCAGGGTTTCAGGGCTCTTTGGAATTAAATGCTCAAGGTAAACTTGCTTCACTATTCCCTGAGCATCAAGTCAGCACTCACTGAGGTCAGTCCTCACTCAGTGTTGTTGTATATCTTCATCGTATCACATATCAGCGGTGAATGCATGTAATATAATGTGAGAGAGCATAATATTATTATATATATTACCATTATATAGAGTACATTACAGGACACAAGATTATTTAAATTCAATATATATTTTAACTACTGTTTACAACATTTGTTTATTTTGATAAACTATTTTACAAAATAAATGAGTTAAAAAATGTAATCCAAAAATGTTTTCAAACTAACATAATTAACATCTCTCACTTGCAGACAGATTCATTTTGATAATTTTTGGGCCCATTTTTCACTTCCTTAGTAGGCTCTTTGCAAGAATGTTCAATCTCCTGAATGTCCTCGACTTTGTTTGAAACATCCACAATTACTTTTCCAATCAGAAGTTGCTGTTGGTTTTGTCCACCAGATCCCAACGAATCTTCTTCTGACATGTATTCTGAATGTATTTCATCACATTTCTGAGACAGAAGTATGCTCTGTCTCTGGAGGGACACAGCCTCTGAGACATCCTTGGATACCTCATTCTGAGTCTGTCTTGTGCTGGAAGGAACAACTAGTGAACAACTGGCTTGCCTGTCAGAGCCCACAGAGCTGGTGGTGTTGGCAGCTCTGCGCTGCACGGTGGTGGTGGTCACATCAAACACGTTCAGCTTCTGTTGAGGATCATCAGTACGTACTTTCGGAGAATATTTGAATGAGTTTCCAGGGTAAGCCAAGGTGGAGCTTGCAACATTACCCGCAACCCCACCTTGAGGTTTACCCTTCATCATTCCCAGGACTTCATAGCGAAAGCTGGAGATATCCTGCTTAAGCTCCTATCAATTATTGAGAAGCAGAGATTAATCAACAGCAGACATTACACAGCAACAGAGAAATGAATTGGGTAATTGAGGCTCCAATGTTAAATAACTACATACTACCTTGAAGTTCTCTTCTGTCAACCCTTCCTCTGTCTTGGCATCTCTGATCATTGCGGCCACATACCGTTTAACAAGGTTCCTTAAAACCTCCTAAAAAACACATTATTTTTAAGGCAAAACTACAGATGATTTTTAAATAAAAATAAATAAAAACGTTATAGTATTTTATGGAAAATAAATTACTACCTGATATTCATGGTTTACTCTTACATTTTCGGCTGCACGTCTCTTTAATTAAAGAAAGAAAAGCTCCATTAACAAAGTGAGACATGTAATTTCTGTTTTCAATGGTAGGCTGAGTTGTTCTTTCTTTACTTGCCCTTTCTCCATAAGAGATCTTAATTATGGGCACAGTGTACCTTTTAACTTAGTGCCTAATTAACAGGTTATATAATTGACATTTAATTAGTTTTGAGCAGCCTACCAATACCAGACAGGCATTGAAAATCACAGATCAGAGCAAATCTTTGGAAAATCCTTACCCCCAAAGTTTCGAAGGTTTCAAGCCTTTGTATGCTTGGTCTCTTAAACAAATGCATCTTTATCCATCCAATTAGATAACAAACAGACTTTGGACTGGGTATTATATTGAATGGAGATGGCAAAGTTCCCCCTTCTTCAAAGTAGCTCATCCATAATTTTGTTCTTGCAAATTTCCACTCTATATCTGCATGGTCCTGAAAGTGAAAACAAACAGAAATTTATCAAAACCTTTTTCAAAGGACTGCAAGACAACTTAGTGTGGTTAAACTATAAAACAGGTAAGCTACACCACTCACAGCAATGTGCTGGTAAGAGTTGTTCATCATCGCAATTAGCATGTTCAGAAGCACTACTAGGGAGATGACATTGTACGTGCCAAACATGGTAGTGCCCACAAACTCAGTGAATTCATGTTTTGGTTCCACGTTGGTCACATAGAGCGAAATCAGGCCAAATACAGACCAAAATAATGACTGCAGTGTCTCGAACAGCCTGAAAAGCAAACAACGATACATCACATTGTGCGCTGCTGCAAAACAAACATATTAATCATTAACAATGCAGATATGTCAGGGACAAATTATTAAACTTGCGTTGAGAAGGCGTTGTTTTGCTGATTGCAGCGAATACCCGTGCAACTATTACCCATATCCGTTTCATAGTAAAAGTATAGCTGGTTGAGGCCATTGGCAAAGGCTAATAACACTAGACAGTAGATGAAGAGGAACTTCAGGATGTCCAGGAGCATGCGACCCAGTGAGATCTGTAAGGGTCCTAGATGGGAGTTGGCAGTGAAAAGGCATATGAGGCGCAAGGAGCTGAAGATGTTGGCAATGGCAAATAATGCCTCTGCCACCAAAGTCGGGTGCCACATTTCCCAGTTGCATCTTTGTTTTTTCCCACTGTACTGTAAAAATGAAAAGGAGAATGGAGTTCATTATTTTATCATTAGAAATCAATCTTGCAAAGATTTTGGGTTTTTCAACACACAAGTTGACTTTTATACTGAGAAATTAAAGAATATATACTAATCTCATTTGGGTAAATTTTCCTCTTAAAAGTAAACTTTGATTTAGACTGCAGCAGAATTAAAAGGTGGTTAATATACCTGTTTTTTAATTGAGTAAACATGTTGCATATACTGTGTAAGCAAAAATTATTTTGAGGTTGTCTAATACCTTGCTCTGTAAGATGTACAATACCTTTGCATAAGCAACAATCTTCAGAGATATGGTTGCAAGATACAAGGAGTTCATAATGAAGTCCATTAAATTCCACCAGTCATCTATGTAGTCTTGGAAACCACTATCCCACATCTGTTTTATCTCAGTCCATATAAAGCCTTCAAGAGATGAACAAGACAACAAGAAAATCAACATTGTAACACAGTCGTTCAAGTATAGCTCCACAGGAAATAAATTATGTGACAAACAACCAGTGTGCAGATAGTACATGTACAGATCTACAACAGTGATAACATGAGAATTAACAGCTGTCTGTTAGTGTGTGTAAGTTCGTTCTTACCAAGCACCCAGGGCAGGATAATCCATTCCACAGTGGTGGGTGGTGGGCCCTGAAGGTCCCGGTTTGCAGAGGCTATATGCTGCGAGGCCAAGAAGAGCATGAAGAGGAAGGTCAGGTAAGAAGCAGTGTGACAGATGAACTTGATGAAGGGCTTACGGATGAATAAGCCATATCTGCTCTTTGGAGAGATCAGGTAGAAGATAGATAACAGTGGGAAGAGGAGGCCGATGAAGATACACGTGATTAACTTTCCTGCCCAGTGACGCCTCCTCCAGCCTGGGAACTCATCATACCACCGAGACGCCAGCAGTTGCTGACAGTTGGGCTGAGCAACAAACTGAACAAAAGAGAGAGACAAAGAAAGACATGTTAATGTTAATGTATTAATTATTATCTTGGCTAGAATTATCTCCTCTATAAAGCTGAAATAAATGATGAAAAACCTCAATAGTAAGTACATATGAGGTGCCCCTAGGGACATTATTCAGAATTACCATGCATATACATGTACTTTTCCTCTCACATACACATATGAAACCAAACTCATTCACATACTATACTGAAAAGCTCACACACATACAAGTGAAATGCTCTCACACATACAAGTGAAACACTCTCACACACACAACTGAAACGCTCACACACACACAACTGAAACGCTCACGTACATACAAGTGAAATGCTTTTACATACACTACTGAAACGCTCTCACACACACAACTAAAACGCTCACACACACACACACACACACACAACTGAAAAGCTCTCACACACACAACTGAAACGCTCACACAAATACAAGTGAAATGCTTTTTCATACACTACTGAAACACTCTCACACACACAACTGAAACGCTCACACACAACTGAAAAGCTCTCACACACACAACTGAAACGCTCACACAAATACAAGTGAAATGCTTTTACATACACAACTGAAACGTTCCCCCACACACACAAATGAAAACCTTACACACATACAAGTGAAATTCTATGGTTGGTCCCAGCCAATGATCCCAGCTTGCATTTCAGGTAAGTTAACATTAAAGCTATACACCAAAACTTTAAATAATGACTTATATGTTATTGACATTATACATAAGATTTAAAATGCCTTAATGATTTTAAGTATTTACTGTAATTGTGGTTTGCAACACAACAATTGTCTAAACGTGAATCAGCTTTAAACTAAGTTCTAACTGTTAAATGTCTAACAAACTATTTGAAGCAAATCAATTAAACCTGAATTCATATTTTCAGATGAGTCAATAATTTGGATGTCACTTGATTATAGTGTTTCTTTTAATAAGTCAATGGTAAGCTAATGTGAAGTTAAATATGGTAAAATGAGCTATTTTGCTTGCATAATGGTAGCCATAGTTATTATTTCCACTTTTTGGCCTATTAAGGCATTAAAAGGCCTTCTCTACTTCTTTTCCAACTCCCTGCTAGGAAGAGCAGCACTGGATCTCCTCATCGTCCACTGTAGTTTTAAACATCTGTGTTTTATGCCCATTAAAAAAATGGTTTATGGTTCCCATTGCAATAAATTCTAAATATATTTATACTTTAGACTTATTTTGTCTTTACTACTGACTGAAAATGTTCATTTTACATTCTGATTGTCAATTGAAAGTACCAGCTCATCATGCAACACAGATAAAACATTGAATATTAAAGCTTAACTCTTTCACTAAGGGAGAGCAGTCTAGTATAAGTTGAAAAGTGAAAATATTGCTTCGTCTTCTGACCTTGGTCAGAAAAGGTCAGAAGATGAAATAGTTATGCAGTTTTTTTAACATTGTACCTTATACTTGAAGATAACATAGGAGCCTTACACTCAGCAACTAGAGCCAGAGAAGGTTTTGAAGAGTGCCTTGTTTGCTGCTCTCATGTACAGTAAGTCTAGTTTAAAGACAAGAGAATGAGCACAAATCCAAACAAAACTAGGTACAGTGCTTAAACAAAGAATGAGAGAGAAATTATGAACCCCACTAGATGTATCATTAATTGCAATTTTGCAAACTCTGAGGTATTCTCAGGCAAGTAGCCCACACAGAGCAGCTGAATCGAATGCACTTGTAGCAAATATATGCTTTCTATCAGTTAATGTTTTTCACCCTTTTGCCTCACTACACACTATACAGTAAGCCAATAAACATGTAATATCCACAAGACCTACTCAAGGGTCACAATAAATGACACCATCTATAGAGCTTCAAAACTATTCAGTGTACAAGTAATTCTTTTTTTAATGCAACTTCTTAGTGAATGTCACATTTGTCTCTTAAAGAATTTCTCCTTCTCCTCTAGCTCTGCCAGGAGTCTGTCTGGTAAGAGTGCGCCTCCCTATGGCGCTTCCCAGCGCTGATGTGCTGGCATTTGATAACTAGCAGTGGGCTAAAGCCGACCCATCTGATTAGTATGAAATTGAGCATATACTTTGGAAGAAATCAAACTATGCGCCGATGCTTGTCAGAAGCAATAAACATAATGCCGTTGTACAGTTGTTTGCATGTATTGTGAGATGTGTGCTTTTATTTAAACAACTTCCTGTTCAACTGAAATGCCTTCCTGTTTAACTGAAATGCCTTCCTGATCAACTGAAATGCCTTCTTGTTCAACTGAAATCCTCTCATACAACGTACTAAAATGCTTTTATACAACATACATTTTACTTGTTTCAGTGTGTGAGAGCGTTTCAGTTGTGTGTGTGAGAGCGTTTCAGTTGTGTGTGTGAGAGTGTTTCACTTGTATGTGTGAGAGCATTTCACATGTATGTGTGTGAGCTTTTCAGTATAGTATGTGAATGAGTTTGGTTTCATATGTGTATGTGAGAGGAAAAGTACATGTATATGCATGGTAATTCTGAATCATGTCCCTAGGGGCACCTCATAAGTACATGTTTTTAATTTAAATAAGCATGGTTTATAAAATACATGTAAAAATTTTGTTCTGTTTATTTACAATGTCTTACACCACCACAGCCAGGATAAACATTTGTTTATTATTATGCTGTGGTGTCTAGTCCACACGTATGGTAAGTAGGAGAAGATATTAAATTTAATATTTTAACAAGATATAATAATGTTATTATTATATCACTTATATTATCACTTATTATTGTAGCCCCATGTTAGTTTTATGGAGTCGAAACTGCCATTATACCGGTGGCATAAAAACTCAGGTCTCATTGTTAGTGGTCCTACACATAACAAGCTTGTCTGCCAACAAATTTTGCATAACCGAACATGTAGAACCTTACTGAAGTCTAGTAAACGATCCTTCAGGAAGCTTTAATAACCTCTCTAACTGAAGACAATGAACAAACACATGTAAATAGATTTTCCCTTGCTAATCAGAACTGCAATCCAGGTAGGCAACACATCGTAGCATTTGCTTAAAATATACTGGTAATTTGTACAGAGAATACCAGCAAACATACTTGGAACACAACATCGCTCCCTTACACAGATGTTACACAGATTGAATCTCCTGCTGTTTTAAACTCTTCCGGGTATGATGTTAAAATTACATATACTGACTAGCTGGTAACCCTTTTATGATCAAGAACAGTGTCATACGGGTTTCCTCTGAACACATCATTGCAGCATTATTGTTCGGACACCACAACAGCAAGGGCAACATTTAGGAATGGAAAAAACATGCTTTAACATTCTTCACCCCATTCGACAGAAAGAGAGAGAGAGAAGCACTACTTATCTAACATTTAATCGCAAGAGTCTTTAAAACACTACATGTGACTCAAATGATACACGATTATTAATTAACAGAATTTTATCTTGTATCTGCTGAAACAGTCAGTTCTTTTAAATTAAGACTGAAGACTTTTCTTTTTACCATTGCTTTTAATTAAATATTTAACATTTTTCTTTTTATTGATAACTTACACTGCACTGTAACGTTTACTGTCCTGTTTTCTTTTTCTCTGTTTTTAGCTTTTTATCATTGCTTTATTCCATTTAACTCTTTTAACCCTGATTGTAACACTGTAACTTTTATTATATTTTATGTTGCTTTTATGTTTTGTGTAAAGCACTTTGAATTACCTTGTTGTTAAAATGTGCTGTACAAATAAACTTGACTTGCCTTGCCTTGCCTTGTAAGCATGCAAGACAAAAGTTTCAAGTGGGCAAAGCTTTCAGGAGTGTTCTCTGATCCTCTGATTGTCAATTGTTTCCCATACACATTGTCTCTGCCCTCTGAGATTTGATATAAACATCTGCTGGACATCTGCGGATTGTGATGGAAGTTAATTTCAATTTAACCAAGTTAAGGCCAAACGGGATCCCCATTATGTTACTATATAGCATTAAATTATGGGTGATGAGGTCATCTATCAATGAAGAATCAAACATATAAAATGTTTCCTATCTGTCCTTGTGAGATGTTGACTTGCTATTACATGCCTGGAGGCAAATGGTGGCATCTGGCAGGGCCAGATTTGGTCTGAGGACACTTTTGGAAGGTGAAAATCATTTCATCCACATGTCACACCACTCTCCAGTTCAAAAACAAGTATTAATTCTGTCCTAAGGCACATTCATAGTGATGACATACTGGAGAGTGCTTAATAATTACCCTAATAAATAACATCGACTCAGTTTATTTGAATATATGATCTAAATAAGTTCCACATAAAATATTTTCTGCCGTTTTTGGTAATTAACATTAGCAACTGTCAGTTTATGTATTATGTATTGCACTTCCATAATTAAATTTTAAAATAACATGCTATAATTTTGCAATAACAGCATGAATTATACTGCAATTATGAATATGAATTTGGGGGGTTAAAGATGTGAGCTTAACTTAGCTTGTAATTCCACTTTTAAGTTTCACAATAATGAAACGTAATAATTAACAACCTAATGATTTGAAAATAAAAGCAATTGAAAATAAAAGTAACTACTCTTTTGATAAGTGATAAGACTTTTTTGTGTTTCATCTGTAACACAAAACATAATGTATACAGTTTCATCAATATTTTACCATTACAGGTCCAATAAAAAATTTGCATCCAACGATCATCGAGTGCCAAATGGAGGAATGACTGCAGAAGGCAGCAGAAGAACAGAGGAAAACATCTTTATTGAATACATTAAAGGAAAATGTTGCCACTAAGAATGAGGACATCCAGTAAGTGCTGGTGGTCAAGCAGTCCATACATAGTACCTTTTCTTTGGAGAATTCCAAAATGGCTAACCAAAGAGCCCAGCTTAAGGATGCAGGTGTGTTATTTGTTGGGTCAAAACCAAGTCCAAGTCCAAGTCAAGTCTGAAGGCTGTCACAACAAAGTTTTCATAAGTCAAAAAAGGTTTTAACATTTTCCTTTCATAGTTTTCTAACAAACCCCTATTGTGTTTCAATAAAGCATTTGTAAAATAAAAGGGCTCTAAAATGTGTGCTACAAAAACGAACAACAGGCATTCTTACTTTAACACTAAATATAAAATACAAAATTTGTATCATTAGCTCTAATAGAAGGGGATCAGAATAAAAATTATGTGGTCCTGGCTTGTAGAACAATAAAAAGGTGACTTGTAACTAATACGTTCTTGTGCACAACTTCAGGACACATCATAGATGTAATCACGATGACAATTACTAAAATTATTATTACCAGCACATTAATTATTAATTATTAAAGTTGTCAAATTTTACTTTAGCAAATCCACTGTCTCCAACTGATTACACTGTATTTGGGTCATGAATAACACATTAATTGTTGTAATTCATAAGTCAAATACAAAACGCTCAACATTAATAATTATGTAGCATTAAATGAAAAACAACTATGATAACCAAAATGCATGAACTAAATACAGGCACATAAATAATAGCTAAAATTAGATGCACAGCTGCAGTGAGGCAAGTATTACCATTCCTCAAAACATGAGCACAAATGGGGAAAAACGATTACGCTCTTTGTTTTATCAAGTTTGTTGAATTTTCGTGATTCAGCCTCACTTTTGGTTAAATAGGCCAAATACTTAAATACTTAAATACAGTAGCACAGCTATACATGCCTACCTGAACTTATCATATTTATTAATGCCCCATGAATTTATTGGTTTAAAAAGAATCCAATTTCAGTTACGAAAGCTCGAGTCTTAAGGTATTTAGGTCTCAAGACAGTCAAATCTCACTGTTGATAAGTGAGAGGAGAAATAATATCAAACTTAGGAGCAGTAAAGCAAGACTCATCATTTTTCTGTTACATACACCACATACTGAGCCATACACCAGTCATTGCCATTACCCCTTAGACCACAGCCATTCCACCATTCCTCCTCATCGATCTGCCGGCCTCCTGCCATCATCAGCCACGTTTCTCCCCAAATCGCCAGCCTCACCTTTGTTTGTCATTAGACCACTTTAATTTTAACATCCACCAGCGAGGAGGTGGTGTTGATTTTTAAAAAAGTTTTTCCTTTTTGTAATGCAGTCTGCTGTCTTAAACTAAAATAAAAGACATCCACTGAAACTCAGTCTGTAATTTATATTGTTGTCTGGTAAGCAGGAAAGAACAAAACAAATGGTAACATTTGTGACAAGACAATACTAGTCAATTCCTACTGGAATATAAATCTAGGTACAGTGAAAGAAAAGACTATAGGAAACAAGGGAGTGGCAATTGGGCCATTTAGAGGAATGGGGAAATACATTACACTCTTAGTATTTTTGTAAAAACAGGGTACAACAAAGTTTTAAATGTGCTGAATTGAGAAAAAGGTTTATACATTTATAAATATAATACACTATAAACTTCAAAAGTAATACTTAAATTGTTGCTTACTCTTACTATGTAATCACAATGTGTACATTTTCAATATAGTTCTATTTCACAATAAATGCAAAAAGGCTGCCATTGGATTCAGGAGATAAATATTTCAAAGAAGATGTTAAAAGACAGTAAAATGTTCCCTCCCTAATTAAAATATTATGAGTTTGAATTTCAAGGAAATGGCCATCATTATCCCCAATTATCCAGTTGTCATGGGACTGTGTGAGAGGGCTACTGTAATGCATTGCTAAGAGCCAGCCTGGCAATTACATCTTGTTCTAAACTCCCCAAGGAGATCTCCACCCATCTCAGGCCATTTAAAGCCCATCTTGGCACTGCTTTTGTTACACTGTGCATGTTTGATTAAAAAAATAATGATTAATCCTTATTGTACTTGTTCCTGACACTTAAATGTCAATATACTCTACAACCGTGTCAGTTCTCAGTATGTCTGTATGTATACCAGTGTTAACAAGACTTCCAGTACTCTTCTTTACATCTTTTTCACTGTGTTGTACTACTGTAGGTCATAGCAGTCATATGACAAGGACGATATTATAACAAATAAAGAGCTTACCTCTTTCTGGCAATATTTGATAGCCAGCTTCAGTCGGGCCAGATCATTACCATTCTCATCTAGCAGAGGGTTGATGTCATCACGGTAGTTGAGGATTATTTCCAACTCTTTAGAGCTTCGGGTCTGGTCCAAGAGGTCCTTTGCAAATTGTTGACACGTATAAGACAGCATCTCATACTCTGACTTGAACTCGTTCTCCACTGTGCTGAGCTCCTTCAGCTCCCAACTAAGTTGAAAAGCCGTGAGGAAAGGATCCTCGCTGGAGAGAGCAATGAGTGATGGGCTAGCAAGGGCCTTGTAGATATTAAGACGAGAGCGTGAGTGACGAAGGCCATCCACATCTGAACTGGACACACACTCCATGCAGTTGCAGCGCACAGCATGGGGCTGAGGTATGGAAACACCTCGCTGCACAAGTAGTTTGATGATCTCATAGTTGTTGGTGTGGGCTGCAAGGATGATTGGAGTGATGTCTGGGGTGAAGTCTGAAAACTGTTTGTCCAGCAGAATTGGTGGAACCTTTTCAGGAAGTCCAGAAAGGAACACAGAGATGAACAGAAGTGAACATTGACAGTACACCAGCATAGTTAGTTCATAGTTAGATAGATAGTTTATAAAAGAACATTGCGTTTTTAACCACAGAGGAACTGCAACATCTGGTCTGAACGGGTCTAATTTCATCTGTCTTGGGTCTCCAACCACAAGCCATTAGCACACAGCTAATGGCTTGTGGTTCAGCTGGCCTCAAAGTATATTCCTGGTTGGAAGCAACTACACCCTTTGTTCTTTTTCCTTTTACCCAGCAGCATTAAAAAACAAATTTACAAAGATGTTAAGAAAAACTCTTTAGATATAAATTCCTAATTTCCTAACATAAACGCAGCCATGCTTGAAACTCAGAGACAGAGAAATGCCTTTAATTATTTATTGTTTTTATCTCGATCAGATTTATAATAAAATGACATTTTATTCAATCTGACATAACATTGACCTAAATGGTTATTTTGTCCCTTCTCTATAGCTTGGGCTGGTATTAATGAAAGGTGTTGTTACCAGAATCCCAAAATCTATATTCTAAACTGCATATGCTCTTCGGGGTTGTGGAGTGCTAAAGTCTAGAAGAGCAGGGTGGAGCCTTGACAGGTCACCATTGTATCCCAGGGATGCTGTCAGAATCATATGAACCATTATGACCAGCTGATAGCGGGCATAATTTTAAAACACTGCTGGAAGTAAATAATGAATACAAATTAATATACTCAAAACCTAATCTAACATTAACTGATATTGATGATTTTGTTCATCTGCAACAATGTTTTACTTGTTGCTAAATAGGACGGTTAACAATGTATCACTTAATGTACATAACTGACTCTTTTTTCCTATACAGGCATGTGCAAATGTTTATTTATTTAGAGTAGTATGTAATCAAAACAAATCACATAAGGGATCACCACTTAAGACAAACTTGAATTAGGAGCTGACCGTGAGGGATCATGACACTTTACACTTATGATCAGCAATGCCATTGAGGCATAATTTGGGTGGTGATGGAACAGTGGATAAGACACACACCCCCCATGGTGTGAGTGTCCCAGATTTGATTTCCTGAGCAAGGCATTTAACCCCTAGGTGCTCCAGAGGTATGTGACCTAATTGTGTGGGGCAGGCTGGTTCATATTCTGTTGCAGAAGCAAAGAAAAAGTTTTGTGAATGCCAAGAACACATAAAATTAAACAAACTGAAAAGAAGCTAGAAAGGTTAGCAATAAACCATAACATTAAAAGTCTATAAAAAAAAAAAATAATGAGGGAATGTAAATTGTATATGGAGAGTTAACATGAATCTACCTGTTTTTCCCCACGTGGCTTCTTGTGGTTGAGCAGCAGCTCCACAGCTCCCACCACTTCTTTGCGGATGGCATGTAGCAGGGCATCACCCACATATACATTATAACTGAGCAGCAACTCAATTATCTCCAAGTTCTCATTTTCAATGGCAATGAGCAGGGCTGTGCGTCCCAGGGGGTCAATGCAGTTGATGTTGATCCTGAAGTAGATCTCAGCTTCCTCCAGGGCTTGCTTCACACTGCCATAGTCCCCCCTCTCAACCGCCCCCAGGTAGGCCCTCTCCAGAGCAGAAAGCTCAGACTCGGCCCGCACGATCCGCAAAGGGATGCGGTCCCTGTATGAGGAGTTGTCAGTTTTCTTGTAATACAGCTGTGACATTGCTGCTACAGCATCTCAGTCTCAACTGAGAATGAACGAGAAATAACAAGACAGGGGTAAAATATGAGATTAAGTTTCAGTGCTAGTTGACTTCTCAGACACAGTGGGTACAACTGTCAAAATGTACTTTAAGACGATCAATTGAAAAATGTTAAATTTGAAAAATGTTAAATTGCAAATGGCAAGTAATACATTTCACTTCAGAATTATTAATGTTTTTTGGACATATTTTACCAAAAATATGTAGTATATACGTTTTTCATTCAAACTTATGTTAGAAATACTAATCTAAAAACACACACTTCTTGTGGATATCCACAACAGTTGACACAAACATAATCTGAAACAGATTTAAAAGTAGGCTATTTTTCGTAAGAAAGAAATAAATTACAACAATTCACGACAGGTGACTAAAACAGACAATTTTCGGGTTACAAACGTAGTTAATCACATTGGATAAAATCGACGCCCAAATAAAATACGCTCAAAAAGAAACAACTTTAGAAACTTTACCTTCCTCCTGTTGTGATTTACTCATGAACCACTCGACGGAGAACCAGAGGCTGCGGCTGTCAGAAAGGAAACTTGCGTGATCGAATCCTCATCTTATCGCTACAGTCTCCACTGGAGACACTGTCATGCAATCCACTACCCAGCCCTTTGCTGTGTTTGCAAAATACACGCGTCAGATCAGGTGGGAACAAGAGGTGGCATCCTCTCGCAACTGTGCACAAAGTGCGCGTTCAAGACTCATCAGCACAAAACTCATCTTCAGTCATCACCGCCCCTTTACCCTTGGGTTTGCTGTATTACAGTTTAACAAGTGTTGGAGTAGGAAGACTTTCCAATGAAGAAAACCACTTAGCCACTTTTTATATTCACGTTGTCAGGGCAGTAATGTTATAGGGTTCTTTTCAAAAGCAGTGTGGTGTTTTGTTAATAAAATATGCCTTTAAAGAAATTCTTGTTATCATTGTTAATTTGTTTTCTTGTCAGATTAGGCTAATTATAGTAAAATGTATTGATCGTGATCATGATGAAGTTCAAATGTATGTATTTATTCATGTGATTCAAATCCTGAAGCCACTGATCAACATTTCAAGTTGTCATTACATATCTTGTTTTGATTTCCAGAAACCATTATCTTTTATTTTTACTTTCTTATTATTAACTAAGGTTTTTGTATTTCTACATAAATTTTTTACACATGGGTAAAAAATGACCGGTATCTTTTCAATATGGAATTTGAGAGCACCTTTGATATTTGTAAATGTTTGCAATTAGGAACAAATTTACTGCAGACCACTATTCACCTGCCACACAACTGAAAACGGCTGATTTTGCACATATGATGCATGTAAGTCTATTTAACAATCATTTTACCTAAGAAAATATTAAATATCTTGTGAAAGATAACTGTACATAATATTTAAACATTAGGTTGACATTGATATCCATTAATAGTGAGAAAGAGTTTGTGCTTTTGATTTTGATTTTCTTCAGCCAGCGTGTTAATATGGCTGGTCCCAGTAATTACCGATTTACAGCTAAAATGGTCATTGAGATGATGCATGAAGAACAGGATAAGTAAGATGAGGAGGCAATTCTTGGTCCTGATTTTGAGTCTGAAAACTATGTTTCTATCTGGTGTTGTTTCATGCTCAGTCTCTGTCTATCTGTCAAGTGTTAGGCTGTTTCCCACCCTGCTCCCACCCTGCTCGTTAGTATCTGGTATATGTGTGTTTGGTGTTTCTGTTCATTCCGCCTGCAGTCATTGTCATATGATGAGTGTTCTGCCTGTTGCTGTACTACCAGTTCTGTACTTGGATTTTGCCAGTTTCCACTACCCGTGAGTTTTGTTCATGCCTGGTGTGTTGGATTAAAATCCCCTGAACTGTATGTCTGCTCTCCAGTGTTGTGCATTTGGGCTCCCTCCTGCTTTGCATTCACCTAGCCGTGACATGGAATACAACTGTAACTATAATTGATTGACATTTGATGAAAAAAACTAATATACAACAGTTATTACACAATTTTTCAAAAATATACCAGGCGAATGTCCATGTTTTGGCAATATTTACTGTTTATATGTTTACTTTTATTGGAAGTTTTTTTCAAAACACCATTTCAGTGAAAAAAACAGTGAATATTGATCAACATTCCTATGACCAAAAGCACTCCTATGCTTTACAGGCCCACAAATTGAGAACAGAACATTCTACATCCTTCGTATTGAGCAGAAGAATCGTTTGATATACTGGATGTCTGTGTAGCTAGTAGACGACGATAAAGACCATCTGTTCCAAAGCAACACTTCTTCTCTCCTTCATTTTGAGAGAGAAAGGAAACCTAACAGCTCAGGTATTTCGTGATACCAAGATGGCGGCCCGGGAGCTATTTTTTAGACACAAACAACAGCTGTTTTTGGACTGAAAACTGCGAAAACGTCAAAAGTAAGTTAGCGGTTATAACTGTATGTATTTTGGTGTGTGTATTCTTATTATTATCCGACTAATAACTGTGAGTTTAGTGATTTGAGTGATATGAGTTACACAGCTGATCAGAGCTGGAACTGGGCAAGCGGGACATATGAAGGAGAGAGAAATGGAGTCAGAAGAGAGCGTGGAGAGCGAAGCAGGAAAGGAAAAGGACACAAAAGGATTTGTGAATCGGAAAAGGAAGAAGGATAGTGTTTCAAGTGATGGCAGCCAGGCGAGAAGAACTGATGAGATGTATTGAGTTGGTAGCGGTGACAAGAATGGATGGGATCTTCAAGAACCGGTTATCATTGATTGTGTCTCAAGGCGGTAGTGAGATCAAGCTTTGAGGATTCAAATGTATGAAGATTATAGCAGCAGAAATGCTTCCCACTCGGGTCAGAAATCAAAAAGAAAGGAGTAATAAGGGGTGTACTGCAGTCAGTGGAAGATGAGGAATTTCGGGGTATTGAAGGTGTTTGTGAGGCGAGAAGACTTACAAGATTCCGTCAAGGAGAAAGGGAACAAAGTAACTCTGTGTGTTTGACTTTTGAGGGAGATTTGCCATACAGAATATATTAACATTATATATTTTACAGGGTGAGGGCTTATGAAAGAGCTCCATTAAGGTTCTTCTGTTGCCAGGAATATGGACATGTGGCTTCAGTATGTAGAGGAGTCAGATGTGGGAGATGTGACATGTCCATATTCTTCTGTTGCCAGGAATATGGACATGTGGCTGCAGTATGTAGAGGAGTCAGATGTGGGAGATGTGAGAAGAACAACTGTGAAAGAAAGGAGTGTGAAGAGGAGCAGGAACAAGTAAAGTGCATTCACTGTGCGGGAAATCACCATGCAGGGTCAGCACAATGTTCGTAAAAAATAAAACAAATAAAAGTGAGTAAAATCAGAGCAGAAGAGGGTGGCATTTATTTATTCTGGCATTTATTGCTATGGTGGTTATTAAGAGCAAGTCAGAAAGGATTAAGATGGTGTTGGATGCGGCAAGGAGATTCTTGGACATTGTAGACATATCAGGAGAAGAAATGGTCACTATGCTGAGGGAAGTATTTCCACCATATCAGACAACTGAGTCTGAGTCATAGAACGGACAATGCATTGAATGGGATTACTTCTGGTGGTCACTGTAAATTTATTGCATGGGGAAACTATTTCATCTAGTAGGTGGTGATAATGCAACATTTTGGATGCCAACCGCCATAAAACCACAGAAGAAGAAGAAGAAGAGCTGAAGCTGAGCTTTCTTTAGAGTGGTCGGACCGCAGTGTAGGATGAGATGAGAGATCTGGATGGCAATAACTGTAGTCATGTACAATGCTTACAGAGTGATTTATGTTGTAACATAAGTTCATTTACACGGTGTCTGCGGGGTCTTAAAAAGTCTTAAAAGGTAATTTTGCCAAAACATAGTCGGTGTGGCGATCAGGGGTAATGGGATTAACCCAGTTGGCCAGCTGGCCACTTGAACAGCCCTATTCCTCAAAAACAAGAGTGAGATGCGCTGCCAGCAGCTGTATTGGCAAGACAGAAGAAAACAGGGAACATTCAAGGAGTGTGTGGGTTTGGCTAAAGTTAGCTGGTTATTTAGCTAAATCGGTGCCTTTTATTGAAACACATTCAACTTTTCATAAAGCCGATGCTCTTGTCAATGTCACTGTTTGTGAACAGCTCAATCACAGCCTGGATGGAGCGGGATTTAAAAAAAAAGTTTGATGTGCTGCAACAAACTTTATAAATGTTGAACTCATTGTTCTGCATAAATCGTTGTGATTATTGACACAAGGTTGGAGACTATCATGTAGCCTAGAGCATTTTTCTTGCACAAAGTTAATGAATAAAAAACAACCCCAAACTAAAACAGCTGTAACTCGAATAATATTATATTAGTGGTAAGTTATATACTATTATATGAAATTATATTGAATATAGCAACATAATAAATATATTAATATCAAACTTAGTTTACTATTAAATTAACAATATACTTTTATATACAATATACTACTTCATTTTCATCACTCAGTTTATTTTCTTCATCTTTGTTCCCTCCTGGCCAATTTGAATTTTGTTGTATTGATCAAGTGGTCGATGAAAGTTATCACACATATCATTGCAGGCAAGCTCACATTATCTAGTTTAAACAAACTAAAACACCAAATTACACTGTGTTTCACATGATCTGCTGTAATGTTGCATACATAAACGACATAGCCTATGTAGGGCGGTGGCTTTTCGCAGGAAATCTGACCAATCCTTCACATAGAAAACAGTTGGCCCATACAGGCTGTTATAGGCAACTGAGAAAGTTGGTGAATGCCTAAATTTTTAGGTGGCGTTACAACATGATGATATATAGGCAATATATTTCAATTACTTTTAAAAACGCAAAAATGTCCCTTTTAAAGTTGTGTGGCTGATTTAATCGGTTACAGCTCAAAGTGGCGCGGCAGTCTTAAAATATGTTGAAAAAGTCTTGAAAAAGGTCTTAAAAAGGTATTGAATTTTACTGATTACTCCTCTCCATGGCGCTCTTCCTCTTCCTCCTTCTCCTCTCTGGTGTCCTCTACCTCTTCCTTTAGATTTCTCTGAATCCATTTTTCCAAAACTGAATGAACTGACTCTGCCCCTTTTATCTATCTATTGAAGGTTCTGATTGGTGTGTTATCAATTTTGACTGTTTGTGTTTCCACCTGGGTAGATGTGTGCTAATTGAGCTCAACCTATGCTAACTGAGTGGACATATTGAATGTTAGTGCTTTCTCATTGACCGCATGTAGGCAATGAGAAATGAAAGCATTTGTGTGCAGAGTTTAGTAGTAGTAGTAAGGAGGAGTAGGGAGAGGAGGAAGATGAGGAGTAGGAGGAAGTGGAGCAGGAGTAAAGAGGAGGAGTAGGGAGAGGTGGAAAACAAGAATCTCTGGCCTGTCCCAGACCAAAGACAGGACACTGGGGCAGAATAATTTGTTTGTTGGTGTGTTGTACTATACAGTACACTAAGGAATAAAAAATGTGCAAATGTTTAGATTTGTTATTTCTTTTGTTGTGTTCATCATGTGAAAAGGTTTTTGAGGGGGAGAACCACAAGCAACATTACTAATGACCAGTTTTTGTAGTATTGTTTCACCAGTGTGTAAGACTGTGTAGTAGTGTGTATGTTTTTAAGGGCTTGTGTGTTATGTCTGAGGGCAAAGTTTGGTTTTTCAGCAAGATTGAATGGTTTTGAGTGGAAAACTTCAT